AGGTGGGAGGATTGCTGAGCCCAAGAGTCCGAGGCTTCTGTGAGCTGTGGTCACTCATCTGCCCTCCTGCCCAGCAATAGTGAGGCCCTGTCTTATAAGAGAAAAAATATTTGGTTCTCTCATTCTTTCCCCTTTTCCCTTGCTCCAGTGCCCAGGGACCTTAGGAAATGCTAATTGGTGTTTTCTCAAGTAACAGACAGGAAGGTGGGTGCTGAGTCTGGGTCTGTGCATTGCGAATCCTCACACAGTGTGCACCCAGCAGAACCACCTGTGGGGTCGGGTTGTCCTCACGCCTCCATGAGACACACCCTGAGATTGAGGGGACTCTCATCCAATTTCCAGCTGTCTTGTGGGCAAAGGCCATCCCCCTTGGTTGTGTGTCTCTAACCTGGGGCTCTTCTGCTGATTATGTCATACTGTTGAATCAGCTCAGTCTTATTTCCCTTCTGAGCAGGTGCCCAGCTCTGGGTCAGTGAGATGGAACTCTGAGCAGTGGGATGTCCACACCCAGAGTCCCCAGAATCTCTCATTCCAGGGTACACGTTCCATAGAAAGGGAAAGTGGGTAAAAGTGGACTGTGGGGGCCCCAGACAGCCCCTCTCTTGTGCCTGTAGCACAGATGTGCATGTGTGTGTCTAGGTCTCTGAGTGTGAGCAGCGTCTCCTCGGTGTCCAGCGCCACGTCCAGCAGCAGCTCCGCACACAGTGTGGACTCAGAGGACATGTACGCAGACCTGGCCAGCCCCGTGTCCTCAGCCAGCTCGAGGTCCCCAACCCCAGCTCAGACCAAGAAGGAGAAAGGTACAGAGGGTCCCTGGTATACCCAGGAGTGTGGCTTTGTGGGGACAGACCCTGGGGGGGACTTGGCTGTGTCACAGACGTGTCATGGCATGGCACAGGAGATCATCCTGGGCCTCCTTCCTTGACTATGGATTCGTCATTGGCAGGAAAGTCTAAGAAGGAAGATGGTGTGAAAGAGGAGAAGCGGAAGAGAGACTCGTCCACACAGCCTCCCAAGTCTGCGAGGCCTCCGGCAGGAGGGAAGTCCTCCCAGCAGCCCTCCACACCCCAGCAGGCTCCCCCGGGGCAGCCCCAGCAGGGCTCATTTGTTGCCCACAAGGAGATCAAGTTGACACTGTTGAATAAGGTAAGGCTGAGGGCCCTGCTGGTGCCGCCCTGATGTTCAGGGTACTGAGGGGCAGGGACTCCAGAGCCTCCTCAGCCCATCCTGCCTGAGACCCATTTCTCCTGTGGGGTGGAGCTGGAGGGCATGCCATGGGGCTAGGCTGCGGCACCGCCTAGGCGTTTCTGGAGACAGTCCTCATCCCATCCTTAGTTCTACATCCCCAAATCTGCACAGAGGCTAGGACAGGGGTCCCCTTTCCTTGGAGGGACCCGTGGGCAGCAAGACAGTGCCGCAGGTGCCTTCCTGGGAGCACAAGGGCCCGGACTCTTGGCCCAGTTGCCAAGCCATCAGTCTGCAGAGCCACATGGGCATGTTCTGGGGAGATGCCCACAGGAGGGGTCTGTCGGAGCAGAGAGCAGGTGCTGGTGAGGACAGGATGCTGCTGGCACCTGTCCCACCTGCCACATCTATGTGTCCCATCTCAGGCAGCCGATAAAGGCAGCAGGAAGCGCTACGAGCCATCAGACAAGGACCGGCAGAGCCCCCCTCCAGCCAAGAGGGCCAACCTGTCCCCAGACAGAGGTGAGCCGCCCCCGAGAACCACCAGCAGCATTCAGACCCCGTTTGCTCTTAAAAAGAGGAACCCAAAGAACTTTAGGTTTTGCAGGGGCTGAAAGACAGACTTTCTCTCTGTGGCCTGAGCTAGAACTCAGTGGCACTGCTGGACTCAAGGATCCTCCCACCTCAGCCA